CTACACTCCCTGTATATTCATGACTGTGTAGCCAAATTCCATATGAACGCCGTCTACAAGTTTGCTGACAACACCACCGTGGTAGGATGGATATCAAACAGCAATGAGTCAGAATACAGGAAGGAGATAGAGGGCTTGGTGCCATGGTGCAATGATAACAAGCTCTCTCTCATTATCGGCAAAACCAAAGAACTGATCATTGACTTCAGGAAGAAAGGAGGAAGAAACACCCCCATCCACATCAATAGAGTGGAGGTTGAGATGTTCAAAAGTGTCAAGTTCCTAGGAATGATGATAACTGACAATCTGCCCTGAACCTCCCACGTAAATGCAACGGTCAAGAAGGCACAGCAATGCCTCTTCTTCCTCAGGTGGCTCAGGAAATTTGGCCTGTCCATAAGGATCCTCACCAACTTTTACAAGTGTACCATAGAAAGCATTCTATCTGGGTGTATAATGACCTGGAACGGTAACTGCTTTGCCCAAGACTATAAGAAATTGCATAAAGTTGTGTGCACAGCCCAGACCTCCAATCCGTGAACTCCATTTCACTTCTCGTTGCCATGGAAAGACTGCCAACATTGTCATTAGACACACTCCTAACCCCGGTAATGCTCTCCTACAATCTCTTCTTTCCGGCACAAGATACAGAAGCTTAAACAAATGCACTAACAGGTTCAAGAACAGCTTCTTCCTTGTTGTTATTAGGCTACTGAATGGATCTCTCTAAATTCATGTAATTGTTGATCTTGATTTGTGCACCTCCTGTGCAGTGTAACCTTGTCTGCCTTGTTGTATCTAAGCACCCTATGATCTATTTCCTTGTTTACTGTGATCTGTCTGTACTGCTCGTGAAACAAAGCTTTTCATTGTACTTAGGAGATGTAACTAAAGTAAGATAAATCAAATCAAATCAGGTGGTGGCACTTATGCTGGTGGTTTAGAGAAGTGACTTCTTTCTACAATTCTGCGCATTCTTTCAGATAGTTGAGACTGCACTGATCCAGCTCGAACCAGTCTAGCACAGTCTAATATCATGGCCTCTACCACTGGTCCTGGGGGAAGAGAATGTTCCACCTCTACATCACCCCATCCAGCAGGACATCCCTGGTCAATGGTCCATTGGACACTGTGGTGCCAATCTTCCCTTCTCTTCCACATCCATGGGAAATGTCAGGAACTGCACAGGGCAGCTCCAGACTTAACAGTGCTTGTTGAGGTGTGTAACAGCCTTTTAAAGATGGCACCAGCGCCAGGGATGTCCGTCCTTTCCAGGCAGTGGCAAATTTTCCCAGGAATGGTGAGTTGTAGATTGGGTCTAGAAGCTGATGGATTGGGCACTATACGGGCAGAGTAGGTAGTTAATGAAACAAGTTTGGTAATGTGCCAGGAGAAATCTTGTTAGGTCTCACTTGAGAGAACACTCCCCCACCATGAAACATGACAAAACTGACAATTTGCCAAAAACGTAAGATCCAGTGCATAATCTCTGTTATCTTATCAGTATATGGACCTACCAACTCACCTGTTTGTTATTTGTGAAAATTAATTATTAATAAATGCATGAAGATTAGATCTTAATTTAAATGACATGGCACTTGGGTTTGAAAAGAATACTACTCAAAACTTTCATTCTAATAAATTTACTGCAATGAGTTAGAATAGGACTCAGCTATTATGCTTCTTCACATAGATTTATTATCACTACTATTGTGGTTTTTACTATTTGTTCCAATTATAATAACATAAGTTAGTTAGATTAAATATATAGCCTAATTCCTGAATAACTGTTCAACTGACCATATACTTATCTCAAGCCTCTCAGTCGGACTGAACACCACAAATCTGGAAGACTCAACATCAACTGTCCATCCCAACCTACCCTAAACACTGCAAAACTCACCTTACCACCTTGCATCCTACCTATTGGTAACCTACCCCTACCAACTTGGCATCCTACTCCTCCTCTATCCACTTGGAGCCTTAGTTCACTTCACCCCAGGCATCTCACCATTAGCCAGTTTGCACCCTACCCACCTGATGGCTTACTCATGGCACACTACCACCTACCCACCTGGCACTCAAAACCACCCCCTCCCCCCAATCTGACTCCCTATTGTCCCAGCACCCTGACCTCACACTTACCTTACCTACTTACCATTTGATAGCAGCTGCCTCAAGACCCCTACGTTTCAGAATACAGCAGCTGACTGCTTTGTAAAAGGGGTACACTTAGCCTTCCCCCAGCAGTTCAGCATCACGAGAGGACTGTTGGAATAGAAGTATGGTTCTGTATTTCTGGAAGAGCCTTGATTGGGATCTCCTGTCAGAAATGCAGATTGCTCTCATTTCATTAAAAACAGGGCAGATTGGCAATAAACTGCATTAATTTTCAAGTCTTTGGAAAATTTAGCTTGATTCTAAGATCACAGCTTAGCATATTAAAATGAACTTATGAACTGCCTTTCACCTACTACTTTTAAAAAGCAAATGTCTCTTTTAAAATAAGAAGAAATAAACAACTTGCAATGGACATAGAGGTTGAAGTTATTCTCCCAACTTGCAGGGAGAAATATAACCATCTGAATATACATTTGTTTCCTAATAACACAAGGTGTAATTTCAAGTTCAAGTAACAAATACAGTTGTAATATGAATACTGGAGCAGGAATCATCAAGACGACAGTGTGCGTTAGATATGCACAATAAATTCCTAATTCATAGCTGTCAATTTAAATGAAACACAGATTTAAAATCCCAGTGGCAGCCATGCAAGTGGAGGCCATGATGGATGAGAAACCTTTCTAGCCTTTACTGTCACATATCTGGTAAAGACCTGTCCGCACTGTCTTTGGTTTAAAATTGCAGTTAACTCCCAATGATGCCTTCTGGCAGGTATCTTACTGCCCACAAATTGCTCTGAATTGCTCTGAAGAAGGTAGTGAACCTGGAAAGAATGAGTGACTGTAGCTATTTTCACCATTTTTCTTTTGTGTTGAAAGCCAACCCTCCAATTTTTTATGTTTTCTGGTTGGCTGTCTTTTTCAAAAACCCATTTTCAGTGTATATATAAAGGTCATCTCCTTTTGATTCTCAAGTATCAATGGAATAGTTTCTCAGTAATTGCTCCAAGTTATCAATTGATCTATTTCTTCACACACAAAAAGATATTGATTTGCTGATCTGTAGTTATTTCTACCAGAATTACAAAGCGATGTGAACATTTTCTGTAAGCATTGGTTAATCTCCTGTGAAACAAGTCTAAAGCAATTGCAATATTCAGTGTTAGAAGCTGGAATGGTCTGGAAATTCAAAAGTGGAGAGAGGAGGAGGAATGAGAATCTCAGATGCCCCTGTTGAAACAACTTCTTGTCTTTGTTCATCTTAAAGAGATAGGAAGAGACTAGGCAATGGAAACGTGAGATTGAAGGAAAAGGATGTGCAAGGAGGGAGCTGCGGAACGGAGAAGTGACTAGAATTGAGAAAAGTGGGGGAGGCAATTTTAAGGCCCCTCCCATAGGTTTATTTTCAGGCAGCGGGCCTATAAAATAAGGCAAGTAGATAGCCCACTACCTACCTGCTCCTTGCCCACCCCCGAATTGTCCCCCCATAGTACACTGAAAGATCAGGTATCAGCAAGCCCACCCATCCTTAAGCCTACCCAAGCCCTTATCTGGCCCATTATTAACCAGTTAAGGGCCTGTTTCCATTTTCAGCACAATGATACATCCTACTGGGGAAGGCAGAATGAAAGCGCTATTTACCTTTCCAGTTCAGGCCAAAAATGGACAAGGAAATGGAGTACCCTCTTTGGGAGGTGTTCTATGTCCTTAGGAGGCAGCCCTATTTGATATCATTATCCATACTGCCCCAACCCACCACATATTTTGATGTCAGCATGGAGACAATGTTCTATTTTCCTTATCTTCCCAAAGCTAGGATTAATAATCTTTGTGTAGTGGCACTGCTGATAGGGATTCTAAAAAAAAGTCTATGTGGGGGTCGGGGGGTTGGGAAATGATGCATTTCAGGAATGCACTGCTTTTGCTTTAGTGAGGAGAATTATATGTGAAAATAGATACATGCCTGTTCCCTTTATTCCTGTGGTATGTCTTCAGAATCATTGATGTCAGCTACCCCAATTAGCTCAGTGGGAAAACACTAAGTGATATACCTGGCTATATAGACCAAGAAATTTATGGGTTAGAAAAGATTAATTCTCAGTTCAGCTGGAGTACCAGTTATCCTCACGTGCCCTAGTTAGAAGGAGGAGAGTCTACTCCTTTTCCAATTTCTGATCTGTATTCTGCATTTGTTCGTAAATGTCAAGAGGGAACAGGGATTTATTTGGCTGTGATACTCCTCCTATTTTAATAGTCGATCAATGCTTATAACATTTTTCACACTTGCAAGCAGTTACTTGACTGAAGTATTTAATGATTGCCACTGCCTGAGTAATTGTCTCCCATGATGAGATCTGCCTGAGGGAAAGGAAACAATATAATAGTGATAAACTAAAGGCGAACAGTTCTCTGATACCTAATACCACAGTGACTCAGTGGTTAGCACTGCTGCCTCACAGCACCAGGGTTCCGGGTTCGATTCTGGCCTCAGGCGACTGTCTGTGTGGAGTTTGCACATTCTCCCTGTATCTGTGTGGGTTTCCTCCGGGTGCTCTGGTTTTCTTCCACAGTCCAAAAGATGTGCAGGTTAGGTGAATTGGCCATGCTAAATTGCCTATAGTGTCTCGAGTGGGAAATGCAGGGATAGGGTAGGAGGTGGGATGCTTTTCAGAGGGTTGACGTAGACTCGATGGGCTGAATGGCCTGCTTCCACACTGTAAGGATTCTCTGATTCTAAATAGAAAATCTTCTTTTTACATCAATATTTGGTTACTGCATGTATATTACTGTCGTTAAACCAGAACAAATCTTTCCTTCCAGAGATGTCTGGAGGTTGCCAATTATGTCAAAAAGTGACTTTTTAATTTTTCATTCTAGTCCACTTGATTCCTGTGACACAACCAAAAGAGGATGGAATGATTGCTAAAAGCCGAAAACGAATATTGGTAAATCCGCACACTGCTCCTCCAAAGTTGGATCCAATATATGAGGCCTATCGGTACTGCAACATGCCAAACAAAACTGATCATGGCCTGGAAGGTACGATATTCATGAGAGTCTGTAATTTGGTAAATGATAGACTAAGAATAAATGTTAGATTTCTTCTACAAATCAATTTAAAATGTATTAAGCATCTGTGTCCATGAACAGTACAATAGACTCGTTAATACTGCTCATCATCTTTTGAACTCTCAGCAAAAGAAGATAGCTAATTTATATTCATTGGTCGTAATGACAGAGTACATGTTAAAATTCTGATTCTAATGTGGATCCACCGGAAATCTTACTGATGCCCAATTAGAATTACGTTTACAATTCAGGATGTGCAAATAACAGCTTCTAAATGTGGAATGATTACAAACTTCACAAAAAAAAACTCACTAAAACATGTTTTAGGAGAAACTACAAGTCAACTGTTTAAGAGGTGATGCTTCTTTTAAGCAATTTTCAGAGGGCTCAGTTTTGGTCCCTTTCTGCTTATGGTATGTATTAATGAATTAGACGTAAATTTGGGAGATTGGGAAATTTGCAGGTGATTCAAAAGTTGGCCACATCATTGATAGTGAGGAAAATGGCTGTCCACTGTAGGATGATAGCACTGCTTTTGTTGAGTGCTTGGAAAATGCAAATGGGAGAAATGTGAGGTTATACAGCTGGGGAGAGCCAACAAAGAAAGGAAATACATAATATATGGGCAGTGTACTGTGCACAAGTAAATAAAGGGTGACTTGGTGATGGGATACTGGCCCCTTAAAAGAAACCCAGGAGATTAGAATCTCCTCAGTTCAGGGGACTGACCTCCAAGCTGGTTGGTCACAGCCAGTGTATTGTGCACAAGTAGATAAAGGGTGACTCGATAATGGGATGCTGGCCTCTGTGCAGTTACTTCAGTGGCAACAGAAGAAAACAATACGTGTCTGAAGAACATTCACTTGCAACTTTGTCTTGGAGTTGGGGTAAGCATTTCTAGCATCACAGCTTTATTTGGGAAGCTTGACTTGTTTAATCCTGCTGTTGAAGACTGGGCCCCATATGTGGAGCGAATGTAATATTTTTTCAAGGCAAATGACATTGGGGCAGATGAAAAGCAACGAGTAAACCTTCTGACTGACTGTGGACCTGCAGCATTTTCGGTTATAACGGTCTTAACTTTCCCAGAGGCACCAGACACTAAAACCTTCCAAGAGTTGACGGAGTTGGTTAAGGAATATTATGATCCCAAACCTCCTCTAATCCTGAGACACTATTGGTTTTATTTGGCTGTTAGAGAACCAGGGGAATCCGTATCGGGATTTCTGACAAGATTAAGACAGCTGGCAGAGGCAAGTGATTTTGGGTCAACCCTGAACGAGATGCTGAGAGACTGTTTGGTATGTGCGATTAATGATGTAACCATGCAGAAGTGCTGACTCGATGAAGCCCAACTGGATGTCAAACAAGCACTACAACTGGCTTTTTCATTAGAAAAGGCAGCAAGTGGAGGATGGAAGCTACAGGGCATCCCAATGGAAATGGACTCCCTCATCTGTCTGACTGAGCTTGGGGAACACCACTTGAATGTTGGCAATTGCAGAGCCTTACACAGGGCATATCCTGAACAGAGGGACCCTAGGCCAGCCCACAGCAGAACCCCACAACAAAGCCAAGTGACTAGAAAGTGCTTCAGTATTTGGGCCGGCAAGCCATTGTAGTTGCTGCTGGTATGAGGACTCAAGACAGCAAAAGAGTCCTCCAAGGCCTGACTTGAGTAAGAAAACTCATAGGCCAGTACCCAGGACAGTGCACACCCTGGAAAGTCCCCCTACATGTGGGTTGGAACAATTAAATTGCTAAGTGACATACAAATCAGAACTGATTAAAATTAACGTTTGGTTAAATGGTCACCTAGTTCCCATGGAGGTCGACACCAGTGCAGCTGTATCTGTGATTGCAGAATCTGTCTTTAATAAGATTCACTCGGGACTCCAGCCCTTAAGTTTGCACAAGACCTCGACCAGACTGAGAACATACACTGGGGAATCATCGCAGATTAAGGGTACAACTTCAGTACCAGCCTCCTATGAGAAGCAGTTGGTGCAGTTACCACTGATGGTAGTAAGAGGCTCGGGCACAAGCCTATTGGAGTGGAACTGGTTGAGAAAGATTCACCCGGATTGGCTCAACATTTTTCGATTAGAAAATGGTTGCTTCAGTGAAGTCCTATGGAAATACCCAATAATTTTAAGAAAGGGCTAAGGACTATTAGAGGGGTCAAAGCCACTTTACATGTTGACCAGGAAGTAATTCTGAGATTTTGCAAGGCCTGCCCAGTGCCATTTGCCTTGTGGACGAACGTAGAGATGGAAATCAGGAGGCTGGAGGGTGAAGGAATCATCAAACCTGTACAGTTTGCAGAATGAGCAGCACTGGTCGTACCGATTGCGAAGGCTGACGGCTCAGTTTGCCTTTGTGGGGATTTTACACAAACAGTAAACCGCTTCTCACAGCTGGATAAATACCCAATCCCTCACATACAGGACATGTACGCGGGAGGTGGGCTGTCCTTTGTGAACCTGGGCATGAGCCACGTCTACCTGCAATTGCAACTGGATGAGCAGTCCCAGAAGTACGCTATAATTAATACCCATAAGAGTTTATACCAATATACAAGACTGCCATTTGGGGTATCAACAGCCTATGCTCTTTTCCAGGGGACCATGGAGAACATTTTACAAGGGCTATCTGGATGACGTACTAATAACACGGAGACCAATAAACCGCACTTGGAGAACTTGGACATAATGCTTAAACATTTCTCCCAGGTGGGCGTGCACCTTAGAAGGGAAAAATGTGTGTTCCAGGCACCCCAACTGACCTACTTGTGTTACAGAGTCGACAAAACCGGGTTACATAAGAACATAGAACGTAAGTTACACCTGTTGGAGGATCAAAGGAGCCCTGGTTCCCACGTCTGTACTGGAGCTTAGGTCTTTCCTTGCGATAGAGCAATGTTGCAGACAGATCTGTGACACCCTTCTTGCAATCAGATTCCAGCCAGACTAGTTCGCGTTTGTTACGGGTGAGTGCCCTGTCATTTGAACAATACCATTGTACATTCCTGTGACTTCTGGAAGAATCCAGTTGCTCCATGCTGAAGTCAGAACTTGGACAGACTCTCCATCGTTTGTTCTAATCTGCATTTTTAAAATTTATTCACGGGATGAGGGCAATGCTGATAGGTCAGCATTTAGTGCCCATCTGTAATTGCCCAGAGGACAATTAAGAGTCAACCACATTGCTGTGGGTCTGGAGTCACATGTAGGCCAGACCAGATAAGGATGGCAGTTTCCTTCCCCAAAGGACATAAGTGAACCAGATGGATTTTTGCAACAATCAACAATGGATTCATTGTCATCATTTGACTTTAAATTCCAGATTTTTATTGATTCAAATTCCACCTTCTGCTGTGGCAGGATTCAAACCCGGGTCCCCAGAACATTACGTGGGTCACTGGATTAACAGCCCAGCAATTATTGCCTCCCCTGCAAATGGTCATTTGATTTGTTCAGTCAATGTGCAGATTAAAATCACTCAAGAGAATTGTAGTGCACTACTTACACACCTCTGATTTTTTAATTTATAATTTATTCTACAGTGAGGTAACTCTTAAGGGTCATGTATTCAACTCCAACCCGTGACTTGCGCTTGCTATTTTTCTCTGCCAACTGATTGATATCATGATGTATTGCACCTATATCACTACTTGCTGCTGCACTGACACCTTTTATTAACAATAATATCTCCTCTTTTTTGTCTTTTAACTTTTTTTTTAGACTGTCAAATACCATTGAATATTGAGTTCCCTATCTTGGTCATCCTGTAACTACACCTATGTAATTGCTATCAAGTCATATTCATTAGTTTCTATTTGTGCTGTTAATTCATCTATCTTATTAAATCAGATGTGTGCATTCAGATAAAGAGCCTTAAGTTTTGACTTTTTACCATTATTACTTTTTCTTATTCTAATTTCTGCTGAACCCTCTTCCACTTATATTGTCTAGCCCATCCTGTCACACTTTTTTGATTATCATTTGCGTCTTCACTATCCTGAACCTCTGATCTGTTTCTTTTAGTTGTTTTAAACTTGCCTTCAATTGAGCCCTCCCCCAAAGAATTAGCTTAAATAAGTACTTACGAGCCAAATTACATGATTCATCTGGACCATGGTCCCAAGCATGGTTCAAATGAAACCCATCCCAATGGAACAGCTCTGTCTTTCCCCAGTACTGGTGCCAGCACCCCATAAGTTCAAACCCATTTCTCACACACCAATCTTTGAATCATGTATTTACCTCTCTAATCTTAATTTGCACGTGGTTCAGGTAGTAACCCTGAGGTTATTAGCTTTGTGGTTCTGCTTTTCACTTTAGCCCGAAGTTACTTGTAAACCTTCAGCAGAACTCCTGCCTGTTCTTGCTGAATGATTCACCATGATCCTGGAATCTGCACAGTCACTGAGCACGGCCAACTGTCCAGCAGCTAAATTGAAATTTTGTGCACTTTGCCTCCACTGCTGACTACTATGGCAACCATAAAGATTCTGCCCATCATTGTAGGTTGAAATGATCTTTCATTGGAGCTCTGATCTGACACTGATGACTCGCCCCAACCTGAAGCATTAATTCTGGTTCATTCCACAGGCACTGAGTATTTCTGGCAGCTATTTTTAATTCAAACTCCAGCATTCACAATACTTTACATTGGTATGGTTGGGTAATTTTTTTTTTGCTTGCAAGGTGATCGGACAAAGTGGATAGTCTACCCATTATATAACTTGCTTGATTTCCATTCTGTTAATTTCGTCCTTTAAATGAGTTAGCAGGAGGGCCCCTCTTTTAACATATTATTGAAAAGAAAACTCCTTCAGTTCTGCAGCACTTCTCCACTGCACTAACAAAAATTTGAAGGCAGTTGTAACCTTTGCCACCTGCACAGAACTTTCTTGGTGTACAGAGATTGGCAGCATCAGCAAATATGAGCCTGATTGTTTCCACACA